CCAGCTAGTGTAATTAATTGCAAAATTAAAAGATGAGAATTATGCAGGCAACCAAGAACCAATGTTGACGACAAGATTTAGCAACATGTGTGCAATCAAGAACGATTGGTTGGCTTTTTTTTTCTTTATTAATGTAAGGTTTTGCAAATGTTTAAGTTCCACTGTGTTAAAAACTAGAATATGAAGAGGGGATCTCTAATCAACTTCCTTCTTTGAAATTAAGGAAGCTAGTTTCTAATAGATAAGATTTGAACCCTTATATTTCTTGGCAAATTCCACTCTATTTGAGTACGACATCATTTGACCAAAAGAAAAACATAATAATAAGAGTAATAAAGTACAACCTCATTTTAACCGGAAAAGCATTGCAATTTGAGGGTTATTTATAGATTTCTTGGTTTCTTTTTGTGTTTCATTCATAATTTTCTATTCTTTTCCAATTTTGGCTGCTCTCCTGTACCCTTGATAGAATAATTCAGAAACTTGAACTGACCTCATGAGTCATGAGGTCTTCCTTTGTTTTTTTTTTTTTTTTGCCCCTTTAAGGTCTCCTTTTGAGTTTTGAATACTCGCAGCACCATATAAATAACAAATTGGTGTACAATATTCTATCCTACTCAAAAATTTTTGGAGATTCCTATTTAAAACCAGAGTATTGCTATAAAAAGATGCCAGAAAAATCACGACATATCTAAATGACTTACTATTTAGGGAGATGGTGTGATAAAAAGCAGGGATGGTGAAAGAAGGAAAAATCAGGTAACAATAGCAGAAAGCGAAACACAAGAATATAACACATATGCCGTGATATATGTTGTTTAGTATTTTAGATCATTATTTTTAGTATTAATGTCTGTGATCCTAGTTTTGCCCTCGAATAGATATACAGTAGGTAAATGATTAGAGGTATGTTGATTTAATTATGCCTCCATCTTCCACGATTTACACCAATATATATATATATATATATATATATATTGCAAATGACTGAATGAGACTGGTAGAGAACATAACGTTAACAAGATCACTTTTTCTACATAAATAAACAAATGCTCATCCAATCACGTGTGTTCACACTAATAAATAACCATAGTCATATTGCAAATGACTGAATGAGACTGGTTGAGAACAGCATTTTGCTATCACAAAAGGTTCTTTCACACTGGAATGAGCTCAGACAGCATTTAACTCTCTCATTTCACATCTCGTCTGTTTGTTAGGACTGAAAACATTTTTTCCTAATTTTCAAGTATTTGGTTCATTTATAACATAGGAAAATATTTTCTTTTGAAAAAGATTTTATGCTCAATGGCGTAAAATAACTTCTGCAAAATGGAAAATGAAGTTATTTTTCCTATCTTAAAGAAATGGAAACATCGAAGCCAAGCAATCACGTCGCCATGCTTCCTCCTCCTCCTCCCGAAACATGTATCCTTTTCGTTGTCCTCTATTAATTTGTCTCTCTCCACACAGACATATGCTAGGGCAAAAAATTTTGACAAACTCAAATCTCTGGAGATTAACTAATCTAGATCCAAAGGACTGTTGAAGTTGTCTACATTTGGGTGAGGGCTGGTGATGATGATCAGTATATCTATGCGTGGTTTTGGTTTCTTCAGCAGATGTAAATGTGGAAAAATAGATGACGATGATGATAGAAGAAGAGCCGACAAGGATGCTAAAAGAGGAATAAGTTAATCATAGTAACATGGGCTTAGTTATTACGACGGGCTTGGGTGTTTTTGTAAACAAGTATCCAAAGACTTTTCGTGAAAGACATTTTTCGAAGAAAATATTTTACTCCCTACCAAACGGACCCCCAACGTGCCTAAAATACAAGCATTATTGTCATCAACAAGCTGGCTCCAACTCATGATTGTCATCTTTGCATAATTTTGAAGCCTGGAGCCCCACAATTGCATCAGCAGACTCTTACCCAACTCCACCACTTGCAGATTCCCATCTATAAAATATGGTGTATTATTGCACTAATTGGCTTCCTCGTAAGTTCAGGGCATCTTGTGATTAATTTTATTGTTCTCTTTCAATTTGGTTTTTAGCTCTTTTGTCCAAAAGGACGTTTTCAAGGATGATTCTTGTAAGCTCAAGGCATCTTGTGATTAATTTACTGATCTCCTTCGTTTTGCTTTCTAGCTCTTCTGTCCTAAAGGACACCTTCAAAGGATGATGCCAGCTTTTATACCGACCATTGACTTTTATTGATCAACATGCTGTACCTTGTTAATTACAAATATTTATCTATATATCTATATCTATATCTATGCTACAAGATCGAGTTTGTTTTCATGGTTGAGCGTTTGAGTTTTTTTTTTTTTCCAAAATCACCCTTCTTATAAAATAATTAAGACTACGTCATGTCCCTAAATTTGAATGCACCTTCTAATATCATTGAGGGTATTCATGTATTTTCATAATCAAGGTCTCATATTCAAAAAAGAATTTTTATTGCATCAAATTTTCTTTTGAATTACGAAATAGAATTAGATTTCGAATGAATCACGTTAATGTAATTTCTAACAATATAATTAGCGTTGCAATGAAACATGATAGTGTAATTTCATTCTTAACTTTCTCACTTGACTTTAACAATTCATATGTAGGAAGTTACCATATAAAAATGACAAACACTGACAGAACTTTATAATATCGATAGTGTCTCTCTATCTCCTTTCTTATGTTGTTTCTAGGAAGCAACAGTACTAGTGATCACTAGGAAAACTTTGTGACTTTGTTTCTTCTTTTGTTTCACATTCAATAGCTTGAATAATGCACCTTATCACATTTGAGTCCAAATTATGACTGTACAATAGTTAATTATGGCTTTGAACTAGGATTTGAAAAAAAAAAATTTAACTACTACTACATTTTTAGCCTATGACTCTATAAACTCAGGAAAAACCAATCCAACCATATGTTTCAAATTTTTCTTTTTCGTATCCCTACATAAAAAGCTTCTTTACAAGGACACATTCTCACTTACTATAGTCAATATTTATTTAGTCCTTGCAGATATGTAGCAAAATTTTCCCACAAATTAATTATTCTTGCAAAATGACAGATTCCATACTCCCATTTGGTTCCATTTTAACGATATATCATTACAATGAGGTAAACAGTAAGATCCCATACCAAATGCTAAGATGATATAGTAAATTAAAACAAATATCATGCATCTTGTATGAAGAGATTTGAGAAAGGCGAATATAATCTAGCAAACTTGAAAAGAAAAGTTGAACCACTAGACACACATAGTTATAGAATGAAACATATGCCAACTTCAATACTATTGGCAATTAAAGATAAAGTATAATAGTATACATAATTTCCCGCAAAGAAAAAAGAAGGAAAATAGAAACACAAAATTATAATTTTAATCTTTTTTTTTTTTTTTTTTTTTACATTTCAAGGAACTAAAAGGATAATTAGACATGATAAGATGGTGGTGATGGGATTTGGCTCAGTAGTTAAAGGTTACCTCAATTGTCTTATGCTGAGCATTTAATTTTATCCATCTCCAATATTTTCATTCCCACTTCTTTCTTTACATCCACTCTTGTCTAGAAAGCCAGGGAAAAAAGAGGAAAAAGAAAATCTTTACTTGATATATCAATTAAAAGTTTTTAAAATTAGAAAATACATGCCGAGAGAGGTATAGTTGAAACATCATCGCTCACAGTATATTCAACTTTTTATCAGCACATCGTGAGAGTGGAAGAACAGGCCAACCACCTAATGTTCACGGACTAATAAAATTAAGATTATATGTGCACAATCAATGATTCAAATAAAAAAATCACGTATACTCATGAAATAATATGAAAATGCACCTTTAATGTTTGTTTTTATAACCCATCTTTTAGAGTGAATTTGCACACTTCACATGAATTATTACACACGAATTTTGACAGTATATACTTCCCGTGAACTTTTACTATGAATTTTAAAATATGTATAACTATGTTTATATAACTGAGTTCCCTCCCCCGACTTGGGGTTTTGCCAAAAGAAAAACTGAGTATAATCAAGGGGGAAAAAAAGAAATGATATGCAGTTTTTTTTTTTGTAAAATTTGATTAGGAATGAGTTCACATTCACAGGATTACAAGGGTGTGGAACATATTTGAGATGAGATTTTGGAAAAGTTTGTTGCTCTATGGTGCACTTTACCCTTTAAAATATCATATTTGAGAATAAAATTGTGCAATGTTGGTCATAGAACGAAAATAAATCACTATGGCTATTTATCTCATACCTTAATCTTTTCAAACTTTAGATTTCTATTTTGATGGTAGAAAAGAGAAAATAATATTATAAAAAACAGCATAATGTGTATGTATGCCGGATAATAAGTAATGCATTGAACACTATATATTTAGATTGGTCTCTTGTAATTCTAGACCTACTTCTTGTTCTTATTGAATGACTAAAGTCATTTCTTGTTCTTATTGAATGGCTAAAGTCATTTATTTCCGGTTTCTAGAAAATGGGGTTTTTGGCTCTCACCTATGTATCCACGCACCCTCCCATTCTTTACCAAAAAAGAAGATGACTGAACAATTGCAGTTTAACTGTAAGTTATTACTATTGCTTTGGCAGATAAAAATGGAGCGGCATCAACCCCAAGAAAAATAAATAAATAAATAAACAAATAAAGTGCGGAATGTAGGGAGGACTTATAGCTTAGGTTAAAGTAACTATACCTATTATGGAAACCTGACTTGAACTTAGGTCTTGACCCTTGAGTTGCTCTTTCTGTTCCACCCCGAAGAAATTATAACCTTCCTGCATCACATATTTTTATTTTGGAGAACTCATACATAGCTGGCTTCCATTTGATGGAGAACTGTCATTTTTATTTTGGGGTGGGGTTTTCCTTATTTAAAATTTTAAAGTAGATCTCATTCTCTGGTGCTCTTTTCTCTTTATTAACTACATAAACACGCGTTCATGTCCATACCGAAAACTTGGTCAGACACCATTGCTTTATTCCTTCCCTTGTTAAAATAATTCGACATCATTGCTTTTGCACGATGCTGCGGTAGTCACTCCTTTATTTTTATCCTACCAAAGGCTGATCGCCCCACCATTTGCAGTCGTCTTAAAAGCTTCCACGATTTTGTATTGTAAGCAGGTAAGAGGCAGCTTCGTCTTTCACGATCACGTTGCCGTCTATCTTCTCGTCTTCAATTTCCGTCATATTTCTTGCTTTAGTTTCTTCTAGTTGCTTAGTTCTTTCTTTTTCTTTTTGACCCGGATTTTCTTTGTGATAAATACTGCACCATATAGCATCGAAGTTCATCAGCTTATGAATCTATAACCTCCTCTTCCTTCTTCCTTTCAAGATACTACAAGTGGACTGTCCCATAAACCAGAAGCCGCCTTCCCCGACATTCTTAAGTTAAAGAGAAAGACTGAAAATGGCAGAAACGGTTCTCTCTTTTGTGCTGGATCAACTCTCAACTTTTCTGCGCGAGGAGGGAGGACTATTGGGAGAGCTTCGGCAAGAGGTCCAATCCATCCGGGATGAGTTGGGGCACATGAGAGCTTTCCTGAGAGAGGCAGAAGCAAAAGAAGAAGATGCTCAACCCAGGCTCCAAGAATGGATCAAGCAAGTGCGAGAGGCTGCTTATGACACTGAAGACATTCTTGATGAATTTGTAGCTCGCTTTGCTCGGCATCGCACAACAGGATTCTACGGCTCTGTTCGGAGAATTTTCAGCTCCATCAAGAATTTGAGAGCTCGTCATCGAGTTGCTAGCGAAATACAAAGCATCAAGTCCAGAATCAAAAGTATTTCTGAAGGTCATCAAAGATATCAATCCGAATATGGTATCTCTGCCCAAGCGTCCAACTCACTATCTGCTGTGAACAACACAACATGGCGATATAGCAGAGATGATGCGCTGCTTGTGGAAGAAGATAAATTAGTTGGCATTGACCAGCCCAAGAAGCATCTAATTTATCAGCTCGTCGAAGGGGATGATTACCAACTGAAAGTTGTTTCAGTCGTTGGTATGGGAGGACTCGGCAAAACTACCCTAGTGAAAAAAGTCCACGAGGATCTTGAAGTTAGAAGGCATTTCCCAGTTCGTGCTTGGGTAACTGTCTCTCAAACATGTGACTTTGAGTACCTCCTGAAAGACTTGATTCGGCAGTTACACAAGGAAGGGAAGAAACCAGTCCCACAATTGATCGAGTCCATGACTACCACCGAGCTGAAAGAAATTATCAAAGATTTTCTTCAACAAGCCGGAAGGTATGCAATTGTTTTTGATGATGTATGGGACGTTGAATTTTGGAATACCATCAAATTTGCACTGCCCGAGAGTAGCTGTGGCAACCGTGTCATGCTAACAACTCGAAAAGCGGATGTAGCCACTGCCTCTTGTACAGAATCTCTAGGTTATATCCATAGAATGGGGCCGCTGTCCTTTGAAGATTCATGGACCCTATTTTGTAACAAGATCTTTAAGGGAAATAGTTGCCCTGGCCATTTGATGGATGTTGCCAAAGGTATATTGGATAAATGTGAGGGCTTGCCCCTTGCGATTCTTGCAATTAGTGGACTTTTGGCTTCGAAAGATGTAAGCAGAATAGACGAATGGGAGATGGTTCAACGCAGTCTTGGAGGTGAATTAGAAGGCACGGGTAAGCTGGACAGAGTTAAAAAGATACTCTCTCTTAGTTATAGCGACCTGCCTTGGCATCTCAAGACATGTCTGTTGTACACAAGCATTTATCCAGAGGATCACAGAATTGGATGCCTAAGACTTGTTAATTTGTGGATTGCTGAAAGGTTTGTAGAACGGAGAGAAGGAATGAATATTGAAGATATAGCTAGGGGTTATCTCACTGAACTCGTCAATAGAAGTCTAATTCAAGTGACGGGTGTGTTTTATGAAGGAATACCCAAATATTGTCGAATCCATGACCTACTGCGAGAAATTATCATTTTCAAGTCAAGAGAACAAAACATGGTCACAATTACTACCGGAGAACCAACAAGGTGGCCGTCCGAGAAGGTACGCCGTCTAATAGTCCATAGTAGTAGTGGTAGTAACAACACCCAGCAAAGACCAAATTATTGCTTTGACCACCTTCGGTCATTCGTTACAGTTGGATCCAAAAACCCACTCCTGTCCAGAATGTTGTTATCTGAAGTTTCACGGGGTAGTAAGTTGTTAAAAGTTTTGGATTTGAGACGTCAAAAGACACTGAAGGAAATGCCAAATGGGATTTTCAAATTGTTTCACCTCAAGCATCTGGACCTACATGGTACAGGAGTGGAGAGAGTCTCAAAAGGCATTGGGAAGCTTCAACACTTGGAGTATCTGAATTTGGGAAACACCAGAGTTATGGAATTACCTATGGAAATCCTAAAGCTGCAAAAACTTCGGGCTCTCAGAGTATATCAACAAGTTGATTCTTCCGATGATGATTATGGATTTCATGGATTTAAAGCTCCCTTGAATATGGGAGGGCTTCTTGTCCTAGAAGTATTAGACTGCATAGATGCAAGTAGTGGATCCACAATAGTTAAGGAGATAGGAAAGTTGACCCAATTAAGAGAATTATGTATTACTAAGTTAAGAGGAGAAGATGGAAAAGAGCTCTGCTCCTCCCTTGCCAACCTCATGATACACGTGAACGGGGTTACGTAAGTTTAGGGGCTGCATGTGCGTGCATGGGGTTTGCATGGAGGGCCACAGCTGGGTTTTGTTGCAGTTAGTTACTGAAAGTTGTTACAGTTAGTTAGTACTGATTTGTAAGATTCTTATGACATCAGCAGATGTCATAAGTTTGTTAGCCGGTTATAAGCTCACCGTCTTAGCACTTATAAAAGGCGAAGATGGGCACCAGTAGAAGACAGACAAAATCTGGGAAATTTGTTATATCGGCACTTTCCATTTCTTCTGTAATCTTTCCTTCTTTATTCAAGTCAATAAAGTTCTCTTGGCTTTCGGATTACTTCTCCGCCAGTTTTTGTAATTCCTAAGTCAGAGATTGAGGACCTCTACTGTCCTTTGCATCAGTGGTATCAGAGCTGGGTTACGCCAGCTCCAATCATCGATGGCAGAGGGCACTAGGTCTCAGGATGTCAGGAAAATGGAGGAACAAGTCAGAGCTTTGCTGAAGGAGCAGCAGGAGCAATTTGAGAGGGAAATGGCGGCTCTGCGGAATTTGGTGATCGAGCTTCACACACAGAAGGCTCAGGGCGAGGGGAACAGCTCTCCTCACCATTCGGATACTCCAACAAGTAGCAGGGGAGGATATCAAGTTCCTTCGCGACTGTCACGTATTGACTTCCCGAAATTCAACGGGGAGGACTTCCGAGGATGGTTGTACAAGAGCGAGCAGTTTTTTGAAGTGGATGGCACTCCTGGCTCAGTCAAGGTCAAAATAGCGGCCATGAATTTGGAAGGTAAGGCTCTTCAATGGCACCAAATTTTCATGAAATCTAGGCTTACTCGTGAACCCCCTGTGTGGGAAGAATACGTAAGGGAGCTGTCCTCAAGGTTTGGCGATTCCCTGTACGACGATCCAATGGGCGAATTGAAGAGCTTGAAGCAGTCTGGGACAGTACAAGACTACCACGATCTGTTTGAAGAACTACTCAACAGAGTGGACCTCCCAGAAGATTACGCTACAAGTTGTTTTCTGAGCGGGTTGAAGCCCGAAATCCAGTTGACTGTACGGATGTTCATGCCTAAAAGTGTGCAACATGCCAGAATTCTGGCCAAGATCGAAGAAGCAAAGATATCAGTACAATCGAATGGAAAGGTGACACCCAAACCTTTCACGAATTATTATGATCGCACTGGTACCACACCAATCCATGTGAATGCTCTTAAGCCTAAATGGAAGACGGACTCTAAGGCAGTGCTGCCCCTGCCTACGTTTCCAGCACTCCCTAGCAATGAAAGACAAAAGGAGCTAGTTGTTAGGAGGCCTTTCAGGAAATTGAGTAGGGCAGAAATGGATGAAAAAAGGGCACGAGGACTTTGTTTCTGGTGCGATGAGAGGTTTACTGCTGGGCATAGGTGCGGGAGTAAGCAATTCCACCGACTGGAGGTTTGGGATGATGAATCAGATAAGGATGAGACGGAAACAGATGAGGAAGGGGGTACGGTCGATGAGGGACAGTTAGCTCATATTTCCCTCAATGCCATGACTAACATGACTGTTCCTAATTTCAGGACAATGAGGGTCACTGGGCATGTGGGAAGGCAGTCTGTGAACATTTTCATAGACTGTGGTAGCTCACATAATTTTATCCACCCCAAGGTTGCACAAAAGCTGGGATTAAGTACACGGCAGGTTGACCCCCTAATTGTAGAAGTAGCAGACGGAAACAAGTTGACTACTCGTGAACTCTGTTCAGGCTTCACCTGGAAAATGCAGGGGCAAGAGTTTAAGGCCGACTTGTTGGTACTACCTGTGGGTGGATGCGAAGTAGTATTGGGAATGCAGTGGTTAACCACCATTGGGGACGTGAAATGGAACTTTAGGGATCTCAGGATGGAGTTCTTGTCGGATGGCCACAAGGTGGTCTTGAGGGGAATGAAGCAACATGGGCTACAGTTGGTGAAACAGAGAAAAATGCAGAGGCTACTCCAAAAGCCTGAACAAATTGCAGGAGCTCAAATCTGCCTAATCAGGATGATCCAAGAGCCGGAGCCAGAACCATTACCTCTTTCTAGTATTGCTGTAGGAACCAGTGGTGAGCAGGTTAGTCAATCGTTGGGTCTGGATTCTTTGTTAAATGAATATGATGATTTGTTTCAAGAACCAAATGGCTTACCTCCTGAAAGATTGCATGATCATAGAATTGTTTTAAAAGAAGGTACGGAACCTATCAATGTAAGACCTTATAGGTATCCGGCCTTCCAGAAGGGAGAAATTGAAAAATTGATCGCTGAAATGCTTGTGTGTGGGCTCATCAGAGCTAGCTCTAGTCCATTCTCTTCACCAGTAGTTTTGGTGAAAAAGAAGGATGGGTCCTGGCGAATGTGTGTTGACTATAGGCAGCTAAACAATGCCACAATAAAGAATAAATTTCCCATTCCTTTAATAGAAGAGTTGTTGGATGAACTTTTTGGAGCTAAGTTCTTCACCAAATTAGATTTGAGGTCTGGTTATCACCAGATTAGAATGAAAACTGAAGATGTGGAGAAGACAGCCTTTAGAACTCACGATGGCCACTATGAGTTTCTAGTTATGCCCTTTGGGCTAACTAATGCTCCTTCAACATTTCAAGGTCTAATGAATGACATTTTTAGGCCATTCTTGCGGAAGTTTATTTTGGTTTTCTTTGATGACATTTTGGTATACAGTGGCGGTTGGGAGGAGCACCTGCAGCATCTGAGTGTGGTGTTTGAACTACTGAGAAGTCATGAACTGAAGGTAAAAAGAAGTAAATGTGCTTTTGCTCAGCAGCAAATTGACTATTTGGGGCATATTATCAATGCAGAAGGCGTCCAAGCTGATCCCAAGAAAACTGATGCCATTCGGAGTTGGCCACTGCCGCAGACAGTCAAGGAATTGAGAGGATTTCTGGGTCTCACTGGGTATTATAGGAGGTTCATACGAGATTATGGTAAAATTACAAAGCCTTTAACTGACTTGCTTAAAAAGAATCAGTTTCAGTGGCACGATGGAGCTACTCAAGCTTTTAAGAAGTTGCAGGAAGTTATGAGTAGCCCCCCTGTCCTAGCTCTGCCAGATTTTAGCCAGGAATTCATCGTGGAGACAGATGCATCTGGGAATGGGATTGGGGCGGTGTTAATGCAAAAAAGGAAACCGCTAGCTTTCTTCAGCAAGTCATTGGGGTCCAAGCATCAAGCTCTATCAGTATACGAAAAGGAAATGTTAGCCATAGTCACTGCCATTTTGAAGTGGAGAGCTTACTTGGTGGGAAGGCATTTCGTCATTAAAACGGACCATCAGAGCTTGAAGTACATTATTGAACAAAGGGTACATACACCACTGCAACAGAAATGGATAGCCAAGCTGATGGGGTATGACTATGAAATACAATATAAGAAGGGGAGTGACAACGTTGTGGCAGATGCATTATCCAGGCAACCTCAGGAGGGCAGTTCTCTATGTACCATGGTCACTATCACAACGTCCTTGATCAGGGACATACAGCAGAGTTGGCAACAGGATGCAGTAGTTCAGGACTTGATCCAGAGGTTAGCCAATAATGGTCCGTGCTCGAGCAACTACTCGTGGCACCAGGGAGTGTTAAAGAGGAAGGGAAAACTGGTGGTTGGCAATGACCCGTCTTTAAGGGGCAGATTGATTACCTTGTGGCATTCGAGCTCACAAGGGGGGCATTCTGGAATTGAGGTAACGTACAGGAGGCTTAAGCAGATCTTGTACTGGCCATTCATGTTCAAGGATGTGGCTCATTTTGTAGCAGCATGCGACATCTGCCAAAGAAATAAACCAGATAATGTAGCTTATCCGGGCTTATTACAACCTCTACCCATACCTCAGAGGATCTGGTCTGACATCTCTATGGATTTTATCGAAGGCTTACCTCTCTCACATGGCAAGAAGGTGATTTTCGTGGTGGTCGATAGGCTCAGTAAATATGCCCACTTCATGGCCGTAGCTCATCCTTACACAGCCATCTCCATTGCACAGCTCTTCATGGACCAGGTTTACAGGTTGCATGGTCTTCCCCAGACCATTGTTAGTGATCGAGACCCCATCTTTCTAAGCTCCTTCTGGCGAGAAATTTTCAGGTTGCAGCAGGTTCAGTTGAACATGTCTTCTTCTTATCACCCTCAGAGCGACGGTCAGACAGAGGTAGTCAACAGATGTCTGGAGAACTATTTAAGATGTATGACGGGTGACCATCCCAGAGAATGGAGTTCGTGGTTGCCAATGGCAGAGTACTGGTATAACACAAATTTCCATTCTTCTGCTAAGTTCACTCCATATGAAATTGTCTATGGGCAGCCGGCCCCTCTTCACATTCCATACCTACCTGAGGCCACAACATGTGCTTCCGTGGATAGGAGCTTACAAGCTAGGGAGAAGGTCATTCACTCCTTGAGACATAATCTGTCCAAGGCTCAACATCGAATGAAGCAGTTAGCTGATAAGCATAGGTCGGAGAGGGAACTTGCGGTTGGTGACTGGGTTTATGTGAAACTTCAGCCTTACAGACAGCATTCCCTACGTTCTCACCACTGTCAGAAGCTGTCACCTCGCTACTTTGGTCCATTTCAGGTGTTGGCAAGGATAGGAGCAGTGGCCTACAAGTTAGCTTTACCTTCGCATGCCCGTATCCATGACACATTCCATATCTCCTTGCTCAAAAAGAAGGTTGGCACAGGGGGCACTCAAGCTCAGATTCCCGCAGGAATTACACACCAAGGACAGATGTTGGCAGAGCCCATAGCTGTTCTTGACAGACGTCTGGTCAAGCGTGGGCGAGTTGCGGCTACACAGGTGCTGGTTCAATGGAGTAACAGCTTTCCCGAAGATGCAACTTGGGAGTACTTGCAGGACTTGCGGCTACAGTTCCCTCATTTCAATCCTTGAGGACAAGGATTGTTTTGAGAGGCGGGTATTGATACACGTGAACGGGGTTACGTAAGTTTAGGGGCTGCATGTGCGTGCATGGGGTTTGCATGGAGGGCCACAGCTGGGTTTTGTTGCAGTTAGTTACTGAAAGTTGTTACAGTTAGTTAGTACTGATTTGTAAGATTCTTATGACATCAGCAGATGTCATAAGTTTGTTAGCCGGTTATAAGCTCACCGTCTTAGCACTTATAAAAGGCGAAGATGGGCACCAGTAGAAGACAGACAAAATCTGGGAAATTTGTTATATCGGCACTTTCCATTTCTTCTGTAATCTTTCCTTCTTTATTCAAGTCAATAAAGTTCTCTTGGCTTTCGGATTACTTCTCCGC